TTTTAGACAATTTTAAAACAAAGGTTAAATTTTTTTGGAACAGCACCCCCACTAATTTTAGCCACGAGCCGCCACTGCCCGTGACATACATCTGCTTGATGACTATAATTATATCAGCAGAGAGGCGCGGTGAAAGAGAACGTTCTCTCTCACCAAGATTCCCCTCATTTTTTGTTTCTACCCACTCATACCCTCATTCTGTTCCGCCTTGGAATTTTCATGAGCTATACTTTAAGTACATTTAAGTTTTGTGAAGATAAAAGAACTTCCCCCCCCCTACGATCAGAGCTTACATTGGGCCGGAGCCCACGGGGTCTCGGGTCCGGTGCTTCTTAGTTTTTGTAATAAATCATAATTCTAGCTGGAACGCACCGGAGCCCTGAATAAGAAGGCTGCGGCATTTTTTTATGTAACTGAATAATAATTTCAGTAGAAATTTTATTTCAACAATTAAATTTCAATTTATGTCTTTACATTTTATTTAATTACTTCAATATATAATAATTATCAATTAAACTAATTATTTATCTAATAATTATCAATTAATTATATAATTATTGATTAAATAACAATTTATAAACATTATTTAGCTATTAATTTTATAATAATTAACTATTTAATTTTGAAATTATTAACGAGTCATTTTATTTATTCACTCTTTGCTGACGATCTTCCATAGGGCTCCGACACTTCTAATCTTAGAAATTAAACCCTGAGTATAGTACAGGGATGGGCAAACTTTTTCGGTCGCAGGCCAAAAATCGAAAACAAAAAGTTTGGGGTGCCAAGATAAATTTTTCAAAAATTTTAAAAACAATATACAAGTATCACAATTTAACTATGTTAATCAGATGAATGAAATTGCGATTTCATTTTTAAAAGTTCCTTATATTGAGGTTCGATGTGAGATGTACTGATTCTAAGGAACGAGGCTAAATGCTCATCTGTCAGTCTATTTCTGAAATAATTCTTTCTAAGATTCATAGTTGAAGACACTTGCTCACATATATAAGATGAAGCAAACATAGCACTGATTTTCTGGGTGTGAGATATTAAATTTAGGAAACTAACTTTCGATAATGATTTATAAAACTGCTTGAAATGATTGTTAGATTGCACCTCAATTAATTCAAGCTGCAAATCTGAGCTTACTTCTTCACAATTTACGTTAAAAGGCATGGTAAAATTATCCAATTCTGTTTGAATGGCACTGAAATCTGTGTTCGAACTCAAAATGCAGTTTTTTTTTCAAGCCATCTTCATAATGCTTAAGCTTCTCTTCATTCACTGAGGGTATTCAATTTAACCTCGGGAAATGAAACAAATCGTTCTTAGCTAGCTGCCCAGCAAGCAGATTAAGTTTTCTTGTTAAGTTTTAGATTAAGATAATTAAGATTTTAAAATTTTTTGTAAGAGGTCTAAATTCACCTATATCGGATTCCCATATGTCTGCTCCCCGAGAAAGAGATAACGCTTGTTGGCTACAATCTACAGCTATTACTAACAACGAACTTCCGTTTCTGCACTTTACCAATTGAAAGCTGTCTGTGCTTGCTATTTCTGTCAATTTATGTTTTTAGAACGAAAATAGAGAAAGTAAAAAGACCATCAGCCCTTTGAAAAAAAGGGGAAAAAAATAATATTTAAACAAAGTAGAAATGGAGATGGTATGTAATATATAAATAAATCTTTCTGTTAATTTGCCTTGGATCGAAAAATTTAAATTCTATCCACGGGACGGATAGAAACTTCCGGAGGGACGGAGTTGGCACGTGGGCCGTAGTTTGCGCATTCCTGGTATAGTATGTTGCAAATAAGCTTAGTAGATATAATCGCTGTTTGCGGTTTTATTGCACAAAACCTTTTATAATGAACTGTGTCTTTTCCTATGATATCTAAATAAAACTTATTTTCTGTCCAACAGAAGCTCTGAAGTTATTTACCTGACAACAGGAGGAAATTACAAAATTTAGTTATTTCTTAATACTTGTCCTCATGATCAAGTCTTATGATACAATTACCATTTCTTCTAAATGTGACTTCTTTAATTCAGTCACTGCACCCACAAAACAACGAAAAATCAGAACATTTCCTTCAACAACAGATTAACAGAATGAATACAGATAATAAGCACGACATGGTTTCAGAATATGTTTAGCATGAGAGAGATTTTGTTCACTGTAAACACTTGCAGCAGAATAACTAATGATATATATACTGCTTAGCATATTTCTGTCAAAAAAATGATAAATAGGATTCAACAGGATTCTTTAAATGCAAAAAATATATCAAAACCTGGAGGAAGTTGTGAATATTAAAACTTAACGTTATACATTTATTTGCTATACAATAGTAAAAATGGTTTCGAGTTGAAATAACTAACAATGGAAAATTAAAATGCAGATAAAGTATTACCTGCAAAGCAATGACAAAAATGTGGCTCAGTATAATTGAAGAACTACAGCAAAGCAATATGCATTTCCATTAGTTGAATTGTTATCACAGTCAAAAGTCGTTAATTCGGACACCCATAATCCGGACCTCAAAGCTACAAATTTTCTGCGCATGCGTCGCGTTCACGCATGCGCACAGGCGTTTAAGAGTGCGCGTAAGACTTTTACGGCTGCGAATATGTTTGTGCGCATGCGCGTTTAATGTGTAACGGAGGTATAAGCTAAGCTAAAATTATCTAATTCAGTTAATGTTGCAGATCGCATTGTTCCTTAATCTTCGAATTGGATCCGGCTTATTATTTTTGCAGACTGTTAGAGCAATTTCATAAAAGTAAGCTTGAACTTTCGATTATGTCAAATAGAATTTCCGATATATATTTACTAATATGTAATTTGTATCTACAAAGCGAAAGTATGTTTTGAAATCCGAAATCTGTTTATCAGTTTCACGCCGCGGATTGGAAGTTGATCTGTCAGCACTATCCTTATCTTCAGAGCAGATGTTTTTATTTTATTTGGCTTCCTTACTATCCTACTAAGTATTATAATTCCTTACTGAGTGTAGTATTTCATCTCGATGTACTCCGTCTTTGATATGATTTAAATCAAGTTCCTCGTCATTATAATTCGCTTCCGATAGTGAAGAAAGTGACCCAGAGGTTATTGAAAACGAAAACATTTCGATTGACAAATTATTCGGTATTCTCAACACAGCAATTATAAGACTTGAACAGCGGAACTTAGTAATTAAACAAGAAATTATGTCTGTTTAATAGAATTAAAGAGAAAGTATTATCACATGAAACGAAGCAACTTACATTGAAAGAAATGTTTAATAAAGTAAACAAATAAATATTAAGCTTTTTCTTTTTGTAAATTTTGATACCCTTTACATCATAATTGTTCTTTATTTCATAAATTACGGTTTCATATTTTTAATTTTGTAATTTCTGCATGCCATCTTACCAGATTTAAACTGATGATCTATAATCCGGAATCGCCGAAGTCCCGACGAGTCCGGATCAACGACTTTTGACTGTATTTTTTTTTTTAAATACCAGTACAACACCTATGAGAACATATCACATTTTTCAAACATACATTTATTATCTCATACTAATGTCAAGTTTGGCTTATAATACACATATACAAATGAGAAGTTTGGCTTATGATACACATAATACACACTGTTATTTTAACTGGATCCAAACATGCACAAAAAAAGAAAGCAGTTTTTATACTTTCCACCATTATGCAGACAAATACTCTTGTTATACCTAAAAAAGTATTCTGCAACAAAACTTTGGTTGTATTTGCAATCTAAACTTTCTTAGAAAATTAAATACACTTCACATATTTCATCAAAAACACTAAATGTAACTTAAATTCTTATGTAACATAAAAAAAGTAAATGCAAGCTGTCAATTCTACTTCTTCCAAACGAATTAAATAAGTCCCTAAAACTGACAATTTAACAAAGCTATATTTTATATCTAATCTACATAAATACTGCTAACTGATAAATTAAGAAGAGTTGCAATAAATGAAAATTTTTGATCCTTTAGACATGAAATAAGTGCTTGACATTTAATAACATTGGTGCTTGACATTTAATTCTTGTAAAGTACATGCATTTTGCAAATACAATATTTAGTTTGAAATGGTTAATTTGGTACACTCAAAAGTCGTTAATTCGGACACCCATAATCCGGAATGATCTATAATCCGGACCTCAAAGCTACGAACTTTCTGCGCATGCGTCGCGTTCACGCATGCGCACAGGCGTTTAAGAGTGCGCGTAAGACCTTTACGGCTACGAATATGTTTGTGCGCATGCGCGTTTAATGTGTAACGGAGGTGTAAGCTAAGCTAAAATTATCTAATTCAGTTAATGTTGCAGATTGCATTGTTCCTTAATCTTCGAATTGGATCCGGCTTATTATTTTTTGCAGACTGTTAGAGCAATTTCATAAAAGTAAGCTTGAACTTCCGATTACGCCAAATAGAATTTCCGATATATATATATACTAATATGTAATTTGTATCTACAAAGCGAAAGTATGTTTTGAAATCCGAAATCTGTTTATCAGTTTCACGCCGCGGATTGGAAGTTGATCTGTCAGCACTATCCTTATCTTCAGAGCAGATGTTTTTATTTTATTTGGCTTATAATTCCTTACTAAGTGTAGTATTTCATCTCGATGTACTCCGTCTTTGATATGATTTAAATCAAGTTCCTCGTCATTATAATTCGCTTCCGATAGTTGAAGAAAGTGACCCAGAGGTTATTGAAAACGAAAACATTTCGATTGACAAATTATTCGGTATTCTCAACACAGCAATTATAAGACTTGAACAGCGGAACTTTGTAACTAAACAAGAAATTATGTCTGTTTAATAGAATTAAAAGAGAAAGTAAGTATTATCACATGAAACGAAGCAAACTTACATTGAAAGAAATGTTAATAAAGTAACAAATAAATATTAAGCTTTTTCTTTTTGTAAATTTTGATACCCTTTACATCATAATTGTTCTTTATTTCATAAATTACGGTTTCATATTTTTAATTTTGTAATTTCTGCATGTCATCAGATTTAAACTGATGATCTATAATCCGGAATCGCCGAAGTCCCGACGAGTCCGGATTAACGACTTTTGACTGTATAGATTCTATCGCTTAAAGAGTCACGTGGATACAAATGAACTAGCTGCACATAAACTGAACTTGTAAACGTTTAAAACCAGATTATAGAAAAATTACTAATGATACAATCAAAATTTCTACTTAAAACTGTATCTTAATAAGTACATTAGAGACCTTTTTTATAATCCAAGCACAAGTTTAAGGCTTTGTTGAGAACAGCCAAACTCATTTATGACTTTGTCACCAACAACGTATTGCACATATGAAAACAAAGCATTTAATGCTAAACAAAAGATTAAATTTTTCATAACTTAAATAATACGTTTCATAGAATATACTGACCATTGAAGGAAAAAATTTCAAAATATATAAAATAATAAATACACTAAAATATTTAGCAAGTTCACTGTACTTAAGTAATAGCTACCATTTACAACCCATATTTCTATTTACGGCATTTTATCTTTACACACTTTTAAAAATTTCCTTGAGAATTACTGGCCAAAGACTTATAATACAAAATACAAAAGGGTTTTTAATAAACTCATATACACAAATAACGCTACACATTTTATAGAAAAATATAACCAATCTAACGTTCATATATAAAATAAATGTTAAAGTCAGTTTTCCCACAACAACAAACTTTCATCTTTTCTTTGCTTAGATTCAGGCATTTACAATTTAAATGTAGCACAAAAATAAGGATCAACGTTCAATGGATTCAAACAAATACCACTAATTATGTAAACCAAACATTTGAACAAAAACTGAGTGACATTTAAAATGCACCATAAATAACAATTTTTAAGTGAACAGCAAAATTATAATCATCAAAACTCTTGCTAAACCCTGCAACAGAAAATTATTAAACCCCGTAACAGAAAATTTTAATGTTCAATAACTGTGCAAATCATAAATGAATTTTAAATACAAGTTTGTGAATCTACACATGTAATATTTTTTACATTACCAGTTTTCAACAATAAAGCTGCATTAAGAATATTTTGATCATTTCCTCAGAAGTGAAGAGCACTACAAACATTTCAGACATATGCATATTACATCATGAGACTGAAGACTATGCAAGTTTGACTATTTATATATCACTTTTCTTCACAACAATTATCCACAATTTGTACATAAGTGAATTTTCATATACAATTTAATAATTACTGCATTTTAAATAATAATTATGTACTTTATTGCCAAATATGTCTCCAGTAAATAACATATGAACATAATTTTATTTTGAAAGCAGCTATACATCATATTGTTGCTTAACAACAATCAAATGGCAAATTATGTATAGTTTTTACACAATATGTACAAATGCAGCGAGGTGATATAAATCTTTGGTTTTTGAGCATAAAAGCAGAAAATGTACATATTAAACAAAAAAATATACACATTATAGTACAGCAACAAACATGACATACTGACATTAAAAAATTACACTGAGTATGATTCGTGAAACAAATACTTTGTTCAAAATATACATTCACATTGAATTTAAATAAAAAAAAATCACAGAAAATCATTCTCTACATGGACTATTGAACAACCTGAGCTGCTTGCATATAAATTTTTAAAAAGATATGTATATCACAGATTTAAAGAAACATAACTGTACATGCCACCTCATATCCTTCAATATATTCCAGCTCTTCAGTTATTTTTCGAGCAATTTCCCACCCACAGTCAGTTCCTGGTTCAGATGCTTGGTGGACAAGACCTCTTAGTACACTCTCATGATAATGAAGCTGTTCACGCAAGAAATAAAACGATTCTAAACTTTTGCCATCTAGCAATGTTACATCTTTAGTTATATGAGATAAGTCTAAAGTATGAAAGCCCATACCACTCAGATGCTTGTAGTAACGATCTAAAGCTCCATTTTCCTCAAATATATCCACGCTTAACATTATATTCTTATTTGTTTTTTCGGAATAAGTGTTTGAGGAATGCAAATCACTGCAATCTGATTTAAATATCAATAAGCGTTTATTAGCATTTGACTTAATATTTACATTTTCTGAATCAATATTAGTATCTGACTGGGTTATTTTAATACCAGTAACATTATTTGATACATGCAATTCTTGACTATCAGGAGTGATAAATGCGAGTTTTGCAAGGCTATCTGTAATTTCATTGACAGGAATGCATTCAGTATCAAATCCTACAGAAGGAAGAAGCTTTGCAACACAATCTGATGCTAACTTTTTTATATCTGCCTCATTTGCAGTCACTGAATTTATAACTGTGCTCTGAGAAACAGAATTTAATTTTTGTTTATCACTTTCAAATAATGGAACAGATTTAAATTTTTCAAAAATTTGTCCACCCAGATTGGAAGAGTGTGAAGCACAGTTATCACTTTTTGTATCACACTTCAGAGATACACTCTCTTCAGTATCAAAAACCTTTGCTACAGAATTTAATGCTATCTTTTTTATATCAGCTTCACTTGGAATCACTGAATTTATAAGCAGGCTTTGAGAAACAGAATTTGATTTTTGTTTATGACTTTCAAATAGTGGATCAGATTCTAATTTGTGAAAAATTTCGCTATCCAAATTGTCAGCATTTTCTGAAGAATAGCTCATATCCTTAAAATCACATTTTAGAGATGTACTCTCTTCAATATCAATAGATGGAAAATGCTTTGTACTTTTTTCACATCAACTGCATTTGGAATCACTGAATTTTTGGGAAACAGAACTCGATTTTTGTTCATAACTTTCAAATAGTGGAACAGATTCTAATTTTTGATCAATTCCTCCATCCGAATTTACAGCATGTACTGAAGCAGAACTGACAGCTAAATCTGCAGTATCACATTTTGGAGATGAACTCTCTATTTGTGGATTTGTGGACATTTTGGAAATGCACTCTCTACCTACAGAATTTGGTGCTACTTTTTTCATATCAGTTGCATTTGGAATCACTGAATTTACAAATGCACTTTGGGAAACATACTTTGACTTTTGTTCATGACTTTCAAACAGTGGAACAGATTCTAATTTTTGAAAAATTTGTCTATTCATATTGGCAGCATTTTCTGAAGAACAGCTCACATCCTTAACATCACATTTTAGAGATGTACTATCTTCAGTACCAACAGACGGGAAATGCTTTCCTACATAATTTGATTCTACTTTTTTCACATCAGCTGCATTTGGAATCACTGAATTTACAAGTGGACTTCGGGAAACAGAACTCGATTTTTGTTCATAACTTTCAAATAGTGGAACAGATTCTAATTTTTGATCAATTCCTCCATCCAAATTTACAGCATATACTGAAGCAGAACTGACAGCTAAATCTTCAGTATCACATTTTGGAGATGCACTCTCTATTTGTGGATTTGTGGACATTTTGGAAATGCACTCTCTACCTACAGAATTTGGTGCTACTTCTTTCAAATCAGTTTCATTTGGAATCACTGAATTTACAAGTGGACTTTGGGAAACAGAACTCGATTTTTGTTCATAACTTTCAAATAGTGGAACAGATTCTAATTTTTGATCAATTCCTTCATCCGAATTTACAGCATGTACTGAAGCAAAACTGACAGCTAAATCTTCAGTATCACATTTTGGAGATGCACTCTCTATTTGTAATAAAGTCTGCATTTGATTAGGAGAAATTCCTTTACTTTCTGTAATTACTGGAATGGGAGATGTAATACCGAGTCTTAAAACATCCGACATTTCTTTTATATCATGCTTTCTTGATGAATTACTGACTGATGATACTGACATTCCCTGCAGTTCAGATGAGCATGCACTATTAGATTTCAAATTTAATTTTAATAAACTATTTGATGAAATATTTGAAACAGCAGCTGATGCAGTCTCATTCTTTGCAACATTTATTAAAATGGCTAAAATTGTTTCTTTAGAAACCTCAGCATTTTCTGCAGCCTGCTGTTCAACTGTTACGCTTTCATCTGTGGAAATAGCAGAACTAGAAGCAAGCAATGAATTTCTATTCTGAAAATTCTTTTTGAAACTTCTAGCTCTAATACATTTAGATTTTTTTAATGAGTTTTTTGGCTTGCTTTTTCCATCCGAAGCTTCATCAACAGACTGCATCATTTTATTTGTGGGATGTTCTTTCTGATAACCATTTATTAAATTACTGAAATCTTTTTTTACATCAGCTTTTTTTGAAGATGGAGAAACAGACTCGCACTGCAATTTTCTATCAGATTTTATTTCACCTTTCAAATGATAGTGCTCAACACTGATTTCACTTCCCAGCTCATGTTCAATTAAATCTTTATTTTGTTCAGATAAAATAACATCAGATAAGTTTCTAGTTTCTTTTGACTTCTCTTTGTATTTTTCAATTTGATTTACATATCTGTTTTCATTTTCTAACCTGCAAACTTGTTTGTGCATATACTTAGTAGGTGTATTACTTTTATGTGAACTTTTATTTTCCAGTTCTGATACATGGAAGGGAAATTTTATTTCATGTTGTATGTAACTTGCAGTACTACTAACCTTTTGAAAATGCTTAGCTGTAACACCACGTGTAAGACGAGGATCTTGTAATGAATAGCCATTTATGCAAAGCTGCTGAACTTGCTTTTTTTCAGGACTATTTTTTGAATATGCATAACCACAATTACTGTTAGTTCTATTATTATGACAGAAACTCCATTTCACCCGCTTCAGAGAAATGCCATCTTTCTGTTTATGGTTCCGATAAAAATGAAGGCGAGGATCTTCTGGTGCAACTGATATTTTATCTGTATTAACTGATGTCTCATCAGATTCTAAAGAAGAAACACATTTCTCAGTAACTAAAATTTGCGATGCAGAATTACTGTGGCTGTGACTTGGAATCTGTAAACTTTGAGTGTGATAGTCACCAGATTTGAGGCTGTGGTGATGAATTTCCTGATCTTCTGCTGATGCAAATAATACTTGACATGAATCAATTGTTGCCTGATCAGACTCTGCATAATGAAAAACACCGCTGTTAGTTTTTGAGGTTTGTGATACTGAATTATGCTGAATCGCCAGATTGTGATGAGAATCTCCAGATTTAAGAATATGATGATGAGAAGACATAGGACTGGCACTTTCTACAGATGATACATCTAATTTTCGTTTCTTAGAGCTAAATGCAGGATCAGTGACCAGAAATGTTGACCAGGTTTTACTGCACAACTGCTCAAGTTTCTTCCAGTCCAATTCATCGGAATTTGCTTTATTTGGACTAATGTCAGGCACATGAAATTCTACAGAATTAATGGTAACAGTTTCTTGATCAAAAGAATTGCTCTGTTTTCTTTTAACCTGTGAACTTTTATGCACCTTATCAGAATGTTTATGAAAAAAGTCCTTACAAATATGGCACTCGGATAATAAACAATTACATTTATAATGATAAGGAGACATCAGCTTATATGTTACCGTATTGCTTTCAGTAGCAGAAATTTTACTGTAGCAATTACATGAACTATTATGCAAGATGTAATCTTCACTTGTCTTTAAATTACCAGTTTTTATATTGCTATGAGAAGATAATATATGGTGAATAAAATTCTGATTTTTTTTGTTTTTGCTGTTCCAGATATTTAAACAAAAGTAAAAGTTTGATATAATGTCCTTGTGAAAACAGCACCAATACTTTTTTAACATGAATAATAAGATTTCATTCACAGAAGCAGCTTGCAGAGTTTTATAAAATACACTTCCTTGAATAACTTGCCATTTCCAAAGTCTATGTTTTCTTTTTTCTATTTTATCTTTATATTTTCTCCTTACTGGGTGGCATGAAGTTTTCTTTACAGCATGAAATGGAAGTAGGGTTGGTTTTCGACTGAGTATCACAAGACTGACAGCCATCATCTAATACACAGGTTCTCCATGAAGCAAACAGAAGTTGCCAATCTTCAGTAGCATCCCACTTCAGTCAATATATTTATCAGACCTGCAATTAAAATTTATTTTAACTTAGAGACTTGTCAGACATTTTTCCTGCATAATAATTCTATACAAATGCAAGTAACCACATGTCAAAGCATTTAACTGATAATTATCATCTTTGATCATATTTACAGGGTTCATACACATTTCTGCACACAGAAATTAAGTACTTTTAACAGGGTTGCCACTCAAACAGGAGAATGAAATTCCCTGACTTTTCCAGGTTTTCCAGGTGCGTTTCAAGAAAATTCCAGTCTATCCGCGTAATGTACGTTGGCTACGCTAAGAGGTAAATTATGGTATTACTTGTATTGTGTAGCAAATTAACTAATTATTCAATAAAATCCCAGAGGACATTTATTCTTAATTATTCTTGGTATACTTAGTTTGATAATTTTGTTTACTTTTCCACTTAAGAAACTTAATAAAATTTAAGATATATACATTAGATAACAAATGTATGTTTTATTTAATTATTACTCATGATAATTACCAGTTCAACACGAGGCTAATCCGGTCCTTATAAATCACTATGCAATGCTAAATAGTTAGGTTAGATTTTAGGTAAATTTAATTTGTGTGAGGTATGTTCTTAAAAAGCACCTTAACACTTGAAAACACAAATATAATTATAATAGTTGTTGTTTTCTCCATTGAAGATTGAGATTAGAATCTTCCCAATCTGGAATAAAATAAGGCTTTTTTTGCAGACATTCTGCAGCTAAACGAAAGAAAGAAATCTATTTTAATAAATTGAGGTATTTTATATTTAGTTCGCAGCATACATAAGAAAAAAAATATGTGCATTAAATTTCGTGATGGTATGTCATCATACTGCTAGAATTAATTTCAAGATTATGCCAGAGAAAATTTCCTGAAATTTAGAAATATTATTTACTAATAATTAATAAATTTAGAGGGAAGAAGCATCATTAAATTATACGAATAACATAAAAATAAAGATAATTACTTAAAAATTGAATTAGAATAATCAACGATATTTTAGCGAATATAGTTATATTACATGGTAAGCCTAGATGACAGATTACTATTTTTTATTTTACTGCAAAATGGCAAGGTATTAAAAAGAAAAGTTTAAAAAGATTTTGCGGTAAAATTCTAGTATACGGTAAGGCTTTGGCACGATTTTGAAAATTGTCGCCAAGACCAAAATGACCCGTTTACCTGCGCATCATCATGTCGCCAAATCTTGTGTGTACCGTACCTGGAGGATTATTTTAACCAAAAAACGTCTATGGCAAAGAATCTCTAATTCTTTGAATGTCTATGTAAAGAAGAAAATTTTCCATACAAGTAAAATGCCTATTACGCCGCTAGAATGCGGAGGGAAAATTTGCCAAGGAATTTGGCGACGGAACCTGGCGGCCAGAATTTCCCTCTCCGCGATCGTTTCTTCTTGGATTTTTCGCAATAATTTTAAAAACGGATTTTCGTAGTTCCCCCCCCCTGAAAATTACTAACCTATGAATTAATTTACTTGCGCCAAAAAATATTTTCTTTTAATTTAGAGTTTAACTACTTGCGCTAAGACTAAACTTCACGGTTGCGGTGCCGTGCGCTATAATATAGCAAGTGGTAAAGTGTCTCATTTACGCCGCTCCGCATCTGCGAGTGCAATCCAGAGCTGTAACTCGAGAAATAAACAATCTCGTTGTTAGGCGACGTGTGCACAATGTTATTTTCATTTTTGCGATAAATGCTTATCGACGTGGTGTTCACGTCGCTCGCAGTTTGAAACAAAAACATCTCGACGTGCGTGGCACGTCTTTTTAGCGCAAGTGGTTAAAGAAATTTTAAAGGATATTCATTTAATGAACTCTTGATAACGTGACCTTCGAACTTCGACACCGGTTTCCAGCTTTGGCGGCAGATATATCACGCATGCACAGCTGTTTCCCTCTATGATGGAACGGAGCCACGTCTGTTGCAGAGAGGTTTTCCTTCTTTACAATACATATTCTTTGATTCTAACCTCTATGGTACCGTATGCTAAGATTAAACCCATTTTGTTATACGAGAACAGGTACTTTCTTTAGTTCATGCACTGCACATGCGATTCTCGAGAATACTGGAAACCAAACCATTGCGGGAAACTTGCTTTGCCTTTCTGGAAGGCAATCAAATTGGAGCTGCGAAAATTGGCTCTATGCCAGCAGACACTCACGTGATAGGCAATTCGCCAAAAAAGTTATCTCTTCCGACGTTGGCGCAAAAATCGCTTTTTTTGGCGGGATCATTGTATGAACTTCCCTGACTTTTCCAGATTTTGACAAAAATACTTAAATTCCCTGACTTTTCCCCGAATTTTTTGGTCAATTTTCGAATTCCCTGACTTTTCCCGGTTCTCCCGGTTTTCCGGGTAGCGTGGCAACCCTGTTTTAAGGACCATTAATGAAAAAAATTAAGGACCTATGAGCAAATGGGAACTGAATAAACTCTATTGAAGATATTATCTATGCTTAAATTTCACTTTTGTAATACCATCCTAAAAATAAAATAGATCCCTAAGTAGTACGCATTATTACTAAACATGAATTAAGATAATTGTTAATAAGTTTGAGAATAAAATAAACTTTATGTAATTTATCAAGTAGCATTAAATATTTTACACTTATAATAGTTGGTCATATTTGAAAGAAGATAAGCGACATTTACGTTTTACTAACAGTTAGCTTAATGTCTCATTTTGTCACATACTTGGTCCATCTAGAGGTTTAGTAAATAGTAAGTAGATTTAATGTCAAACTGCATAGGTTAAAATGAGAAGTAAGATCATAATCAGCACGATTCATAACAAAAGACTGAATGTTGTCACTATTGTTGTTTGTCTAGAGAGAGACCTGCTGATTAGAACAAATCTGAAAGGCCTGATGTAGGCAAAGTTGGCAAGTGTTGAAAGTTAGTCAGGCTCTGTTTGATGCAGTTAGTGTCATAGCTTCATCTACAGTTCCAAGGTTTGTAATCCAGTTAATATACTTTAAGGTTCCAATAAGCCATTAAAGCACCAGAGGTGATAAGTTGTTTTGTATTATTTTAAGTCTCAGTAGATGCATTGAATAGGTTTTACTTGAATTTTACATTTTTATATTTTATCTTGTGACCACAGTGAGCATTAATGAAAGGCAATAACTCACTTTAATGAAAGGCAATAACACACTTATGTAGAGATAATTTTTAAGGGTAAGCAGTTAGTTATAAATAATTAAGTTAGGTAGTTTGATAACCTTAGTCATTATGGATTTACATGACCACTATTAAATTTTATTTTTTAACAATATTTGTTAAAAAAGCCCTATTAAAATCAAAAGCTAATAAAATTTCACAGTTTAAAATATATGTAATTCATGACACAGATTCTTAAACGATATTAAGATAATTAATTACACATTAAAAGCTACAAAACATTTATATTTTGTAACAACACCAGTCAACAGCGGTGTAGCTAGAGTGCAGCAAGGGGGGGACATCTGTCCCCGTGCCAAGCATCCAAGGGGGGGGACCAAATTGATGCTATGAAATTTTTTAATGAAATGTTTTCCATTCTAGGCACACAAAAAGGGGCGCAAATTCTTCAGTTGTCCCCGGGCGCTTGAAACTCTAGCTACGCCCCTGCCAATCAACAAGATATTTATCCATCATTTTAATTTGAAGCCTTCGCAGACATTTTGGCTAGTTTATATCAATTTCTTTCTCCTTTAAACATCTTTTCTAACAATTAGAGATTTGTCTCAATATTCAAACCAATGCACTCACTAGTTTCTGCATGCTTTATCTCCTCACTTGTGAACCTCTCCACAATGTACCTATGAGGGTTTATTTGATCTGGGAAAAGTTAAATAGTCCAAAACCCTCGATAAACGTGAAGCATATTATCGCTATGCCTGAAATTAACTCCAATATCAGACAAAGGTTTAAATAAGCCGCTTTTTTTAAAAAGAACTTAGAACATAAAGACATGTTCTGATGCTAACAAAATCAATTACAGCTCACAGTATGTAATTAAACAAGAACACTCAAATTCAAACTAATAATGTGGACTAGTGGTCAACGATTATACAATTTAATTTTAATTTAATCTGGCTCAATAAACTATCATATGAGGAAATAGAAATGGGAAATTATAGTAAAGGTTGAAATCATAAACAATTGGATAATTTACATAATAATAACTGCACCTATCTTTGAAGAATAATTTCCATTATGTATTCAGTTTTTCTTCTTCAACACGTTTCCTTTTCATTTTAGAATTTTTGGATTTAACTAAGATTTATGTTATTCTAAAAACACTAAATGCATTTATAATGTACAGAAAAAGCGGCTAATTTTATTTCATTAGTAATATGAACATTCAGAAGCAATATGAAATATATATAGTGAAGGCCAGTTACAGAGCTGATGTTGCAGAATTTCTAGAATTTAGTGACACACCGAACAACAAAATCTAGAAATAGCAAAACTTTTAGAATTTAGAGCAGGCATTAGAAGCAGAATTTAGAAAGGCACTAGGCAGCAGAATTTAGGATCCACAGAGATCACATCAGGTGGGAAAATGCTTAGAGCCAGCTATGTGTATGATGCAATAAGACATATTAGATGAATCTTTTAAATTGTAAGTTTTCAGTTTCTTTATTAATAAAAAAAATTCCTCTCTATAGTGCCTGCCCATAAGACAAGATTAAAAGCATTTTTGATATTTTCCATGCCTCAGTCTAGTGAAAAGTAGAGAAAATAAAGGGAAGATAAACATGTTAAGATTCTAGTATCAGAAGTAAAACATTCAAATATTATGTTTTCATTGTTCTTCTAGATATTCTCCATAAAGTAAGAAATTCATTGCAAACTTTCTTAAAATACATCCATTACATGTTGATACCATGGTGACATTTTTTATATTTTTCATTTTGTCACATATTTCTCAAATCTTCTAGAATCGTGGGTCTATAAATCTTGCCTTCTACACCTTCCAAACTGCAATGTCTAAAATTCTAAAGAAAAATTATTCCTATCAATTCTGTAACAGCAAAAAGACAGAAATATTTTGGGAAAAAAAAAAAAAAAAAAAAAAAAAAAAAGGAAGAAAAAGTGTAAAATTAATTTTATAGAGAAACCTGATGCATAT